CTTACAGATGCCCACTCCTGTCTAGCCACAGTGACCTCCTTCCTATCTGTCCTTAAAGGCACACATGGAGGGGGCTGGAGAGATGGCTCGGTGATTAAGAACACTTGCTGCCCTTGCAGGGGACCTGAGTTCAGTTCCCAGAACCCACATGTTGGTGAACAGCCAGCTGTGACTCCAGTTACAGAGGTTCCAGTGACCTCTTCTGATCTTCATGGGCACAGGCACACATGTAGTGCACATACATACAGACAGGCAAAACACTCACATACACAAAAAATAAGTAAATCTTAGAAAAAGACACATGCGAATTCCCAGCTCTTCCTAGAAGCCTCCCGTGGCTAAGTGTGATTGCAGGCTGACAGAGCAAATTACAGCCTGCTCAATTAGTGTGGCAATCCGCCCAAGTTTCCCTGGCTCGCAGTCACAGCCCTGGGACTGGAAGCAGGAAGGCAAGACTGAGGACTCCTGGCCCTTACAAGTGACTGAAGGTCACCTGGCCCAGGGCTAGGGCTCTCCATCACAGACACTGCTTCCTATGCTGCCACCCTCTTCAAGGAAGCAGCAAGAAAAACTCACGCTTCGGGGAATACTTTGGACGATGTGTTAAGACCACTCAGCACTGTCCTATGCTTGTAGAGGTGTAGACTCTCCCAGTTGGGGAGAGTTGGGGAGTGACAAAAATGAAGGGGCAAAACTAGGCCACAGTGAGGGGTGGCAGGCACAGCGCCAGCAGCCTAGAGAGGGCAGTGTGCTGTGGAACAATCCTGTTCGTTGTGAAAATGTGTTGCTCTCAAGGTTAATAAGAATTGGATTGGCTGGTAGCCACGCAGGAAGTATGGGTGGGACAACCAAACTAAGGACTGGGAAGAAGGAAGGCGGAGTCAGGAGCCGCCAACAGATGTAGAGAGAGCAAGATGGTCAATGCTTGCTGTACTGAGAAAGGGTACCAAGCCATGTGGCAAGGCCTAGATAAGAAACATGGGTTAATATAATAAGAGTTAGCTAGTAACAAGTCTGAGCATTCATAATTTATATTAAGTCTCTGTGTGGGTTATTTGGGAGCGGGTGGTCAGGGAAAACTCCACCTAGAATAGTAGTTAGAAGGTTGTTCAGCCCTATGGAGGGAGACTATTGCAGCCCAGATGCAGCAAGGAGGGCCTAGGCCCTCCCCAAAATGATCTGAGGGACTTTGAAGGTCCCCTGTGGAGGGCCTCACTATCCCTGGGGAGGAGTTAGTTGGGGGATGGGTTGGGGGTGTTGGTGGGGAACACAGGAGGATGGGAAGGTGAGGGAATGGGGGGAAGGATATGTAAATATGAGTAGTTACTAAAGAATAAAAAAGAGGTGGTTGCTCAGGGCAGTCTCTCTGGGGACAGACCTAGATGCTGACAAGGGGAGGGACTTGGCCGTGAGACAAAGTGGGGAGACAAGTTCCAGGAAGAGGGACAAGAGGGTGCAAGGACCCCGAGAACAGGAACATAGGAGGACGGAACTCATGCCTGCAGCACTGAACATGTGTGAAATCAGAGGCAGGAGGACCACCGAGGGCCACTGAGGAGTCTGGGTTCATTCCCGGAACCACAGAGAGAGGAACCAACAGCCTCATCTGGCCAGCTGTTTCAGGGATGGGGATAGTGGAGCTGGTGGAGCTCCCGGGTACTCACACGGACCAGATACACCCAAATATTCAACCCTCCGTCCAATTTCTTGGCTTGTATGTGCATATGTGGGTGAGTGCTCACATGCAGTGAGGCAAGAGGCCAACTTCATCACTTTGTTCTTCTGAGACAGAGTTTCTCATTGTCTTAGAACTGTCTAATAAGCGCGTCTGGCAGGCTAGTGAGCTACGGGAGGCCTCTTGACCTCCCCAGTGCTGGTATTACAAGGGTGCACCACCATGACTGCTTTTTATTTTTTTAAACAAGGGTTCAGGGGACTCAAACCCAGCTCCTCATGCTTTCAGGGCTAGCGCTTTCTTGGCTGAGCCATCCTTCTGGCCCCTCTGTCCTTGGTTTTTAGTGGTGACGGCTGAGAGCAGTTAGGAAGCTTTCCACTTCACAGCTTCAGCAGAGCCAACCAGACACTCACGTCTTAAATAGCCATTCCCGGAAAGCCCCAATCGGTGCTTATCTCTTCATGTTAATATTTAAGATCAAGGCTTAGCCTAGTCTCAGCCCAGTTACTAACCGAGAAGAGTTCACTAGGGGATGACAATTTGCTAGGGTCTTTAATGAATGCTGGCGAAAGTCACCTAGTTTGAAGGCAGCAGCGCTGAGGTCACTGGGCATATCAGGGGCGCTGTGGGTCAGACAACTGTCACCCTGCCTATGGGAGAATTGTTTTCTGGTCTCCTTCTGCCTTGGGGAGTGGGTTGTCTCGTAGGACACGGGCCCCACGTGGTGTGGACCCAGGTGCACACTCTGAACACTATTTTTAGAGCCTCAGGCAGAGATATGTATCATCCCATCTGTGCTAGCTTCCTGGGGCGGACACAGCACGGAGTCACAAATAAAGCTAAACACAAGAGGAACTGACTCTCACAGCCTGGAGGCCAGGCACCTGGCAGGCAGGAGGCAGAGGGGTCTGCTCCCTCCAAAGTTGTCAGTGAAGATTTGCCCCTCTCAGCGTGGGTGGTTGCTGGGATCCCTGACATCATGCCCTTGGATTGTATCTGTGTTCCTGCTCTTGGCATCTCTCATATGGCCTTCAAGCATCCTGTATCACTCCACCTTGGCTGATCACACTGACAAAAACTCTGTAAGATGACCCAGATAAGGTCACTTTCTGAGGTTCAGGGAATATATAAAATTTGGCGGCAGGACAAGGTTAAACCCACCACACCCCCAGCATCACAAATCCCGTCTACATGGGAGGGAGCTGTTTTCTCAGAGTTGGGAAGGCACAGTTCAGTTCCTCTCCACCTCACCGGTCCCAATGCTCTCTGCCTGGCCCTCCCCAGCTCAGTCATCGAGGCCTCCTATCATCTCCTGCAATGGGACTAGAAGGTTCTCTCTCATGTCTTCCAATGGGATTTCTCTCAGACTGTTCAGGACCCCGCTCTCGAGTAACCTCCTCAGATCAGCCTCACTGCCACAGATCCCCCATACGCCGCACCCTGGTTTATGGCTTCAGGGTAGGTGGTGGCTACTGGAACCGTTCTAATAGATCTTCTGCCTCTCTGCACCATGGTGTGGTGGGCATCAGGAGGGGCCCTTGTTTCTCTGGCTCATACAGGACCTCTTGGGTCTAGCCCAGGCTCTAGTGTCAACATCCTCTCAATAAACATTTGCTGAGTGCACACTAAGTCCCCATGAGCAGCTAGCACAAAACAAAACAAGGCACAGAGTCTCCCCCTTGAGCAATTTCCATCATGAACACAAGCTCAGTTGTGCTGCCATCAGACTGACCCATGGTCCTTCCCTTACTTAGACTACAAAGCCTTCAAAATCCTGCTGTCTCAGGGATCACCAGAAGTGTTTTGTTTCTTTAAACTACAACCATATGTTCAGACAATAGCCCAAAGGACAAAAGACACTATCCACAAGAGATGAAGATAAAAGAGCAGTCCTGACCTCCACTCACTTTAGCCCCAAACCCTGGGGCTAAAGCATAAGAAACCAGGTTGGATGTGACTTCAGATAAACACACATTTTTTTTTTTATGATACGCGCATGCCAAATATTGCACTGGACATACTTATATGAAAATATATATTTGCTGTCTGTCTGAGATTCTAACTTGATAGGCACTTTGTATTTTCATTTACAACACTGGCGGCCCTACAAGGACTGGAGAAGACAGTTCCCTTTGATCCACTGGTTCCGGAGGTTACACAGATAAGGCTCTGCCTGTCTGCCCTCTGGCTGTGTGGTCTGGAGCTGTCCCGGGTGCTGAACACAGGGAGAGCGAGGTGTGTGTTAACACAGATGTGCTCTTCTGGGATTTTAAGAAAACTTATTCTACATGCAGGCAGCATTCAGACAGACAGACAGACAGACAGACCCTTTACTCCATAGCCTTTGCTACCATGGTTACAGTCGGGTGCAGCCAATTCTGAGGTGACCTGCTGATGAAGCCCAATTTTAGGACGTGAAGGACACACCTCTTGGCGCACAGAATACAACCCGGGTTTTTCTATCCAGGATGGGTTTGTATTAAAGATGATGTGGTATTTTCCTTTATTTTTTATATTTATTTATCTTACGGGTTTGTGTGTTTTGCCTGTAGAGGTCAGAGGAGGGCACTGGATCCCTTGGAACTGGAGTAATGGACAATAATGTTATGGAGCCACCATGTGGGTGCTGGGAACTGAACCCAGGTCCTTTGCAAGAGCAGCCAGTACCAGTTATCTCTGAGCTCTCTCTCCAGTCCCATTTTTTTAAAAAATATATTTCTTTGTAAATTTTTGGTGTGTGTATAAATACATGCATGGCTGCATGCATACATATATGTGTAAGTATATACATATGTGTGCATGTGCACGGGTGCAGTACCTACAGAGGTCAGAAGGTGGCAGATGCTCTGGGATTGAGTTATAGGCAGTTGTGAACTTCCCTGCTCTGGTGCTGGAAGCTGAACTATTCTTTTGCAAGAATAGTCAGTGCTTTTAACTGTGGAACCATCTCTCCTCCCTGCTGAAGTGTTCTTACTAATTCACACTTAGCCAACCCTTAGCTGAAGTTGCCAGAGACAAATGAAACAGCCTTTCCCTGCTCAGCAAACAGGTTTTCAGCCATGAAAACACCCAAAGAAATACAACTCCAAGACTAGCAATGCTTGTTTTTGGACAGCTAGGACTACAGCAGACGTTCAGTTTCTTCATGGAGGCATCTCTATGTGGTTGGGTATTTCCAAACTGAAAATATTCACCCCGAGTCACAATAAAACTGTGCAATCCACTTTTCCAGGGTGGTATCCCTCTCTCGTGTAGAACCTCCTTGCAATCTTCCTCGGATGTCCTGGGGACCCCCTGGCCACCCCCCTTCTAGCCCAGCCCTTACCGATACTTCATGCCTGTGCGCTGCGCGGTGCAGCCGTCCAGGGAAAGGCCGTGCATGCGGAGGAAGCTCTCCATGTTCCTGGCCTGGGCGGCTGCCCGCACTTCCCTCAGCCGCTGCAGCTCCAGCGTGTCTGTCTGGCGGACTGGATGCAGGGCCCAGTCTGAGTGACATCTGCTGCTTACACTCCGCAGACTCTCGCTGTACGTCATGGACAGCATGGTGCCGCCTGGAGTTGCCACTGTCCAGACGGGAAATGCCGAACGGTGGTAGTTTAGAGAGCTTGTCCGTACCTCTGGTGCCCCAGGCTGGCCGGCCGGCTGCGGGGCAGGGGGTGGATGCAGAGGGAACAATCTTCAAGGAGAACTGCCTCCAGGGCACGCCTGAGTCCTGGGTGATACACCCTTGGCCTGAGATCCTTGTCCTTAAAATCATGCTTGCTGAGGAATGAGCTTGCCCACCTCTGGCTGTAAGGGAAGCTGGCCAAGCTGGATTGCAGGCAGGAGGGAGCACTTCCCCCAAGCGGCACAGTGTAACTAGGAGCACGGGGGACATGCAGAAAGGGAGTCCAGGAACACTGCCAAGGACAGCGCTGCTGCCTGGTGGGGCCACATCACAGTGCTCTTGTGTGTGTGGGGAGTCGCCGGTTGAACCCAGGCAAAAAGCTGTCTCGGGGTAGAAGCACAAGGCGCCCTCGCCACAGAAGCAAGCTCCGAGTGGGCTCCTGCCGCAGGGCCGCCTCACCCCACATGCCAGGGGCCGTGTTTGTTCTCAAGCCTGGGAGAAGGCAACTGGGAGGCCCACAGTGCACTGTTTGCTTGCTTTAGTCCTATTGCACCAGCACAGGTCTCTGGGCTCTGTGCTTCATGACAGCATGTCACAGTCCATGGAGCTTTAGAAATAGGGTACAGGATGGGGACGGGCTTACTGGGAGTGCAAAATTTCACAGTTTACACATCCACAGCCACTCAGAGTCGTCCTAGATGACGAATTCACTCTCAGAGGGCAAGGCCAACACAGCATCTATTGGAAGGGAATCGGGGGCATAAATGGTGGCCCTGGCCATGGACACCGATGCAGCAGGAACACATACATATCCAGGGAGAAAGAACGTATTTGCAACCCTCCGGCAGGCAGCCCTTCAGGAGCATGAGCAGGCAGCCCTTCAGGAGCATGAGCAGGAATGAGTGAGGGCTGTGGCTGCAGGAAGGAGAGGGAGCCACACCCTGCTCCGTCTACAACTGGCAGTAAGGACCCAGGGCAGGTACAGGTGAGGCAGAGGTCTGCCATCCAGGTCCCTGTCCTCAGCGCCTGTCCTCTGTACCACCTATGCCCAGATGCTGCAGGCAACCCCACAAGTGTCACTAGAAGGCGCAGTTGAAAGTTCCAATTGCAGTTGGGCTAGCTGCAGCGGTGAGCCCCCAAGTTCCTCTGTTTGCTAGAAGGGAACCAGCTTGGTGCCACCCTTGGCCCGGGAGAATGCAAGCTTGATTAAGTGCAAGACAGAGCAGAGGAGGTACTGGGCGGATCTAGGGGGTGGGCGGAGTGGCCCTGGGCTGGGGCTAGTCCCTCTGGGGGCCAGAGGAAGGGACCACTAAGGACAGGAGTTTGAGATTATGACTATGTGTAAGTCCTCCCTGCCTGGGTCACCTCTCCTTGTTTGGCCTGAGTGAGCACTGCAGGCGGTGGGGTCACCTTCAGGAACTTTGTAGCTGGCCCTTTCATAGAGGGCTTCCCTGCAGCTGTCTTTGTACAAAGCCTATCATGTATGCATTGGTCAAACCTAGCACGGGGCTTAGTTCACAGTAGGTGCCTGGAATAGTTACTGCATGGGCAGCTGAGCTAGGGAAGGGGCTCAGAGAGGGTCTGGGAAGACCAACGGAATCCCAGGGAGAGAAGGAGAGAGGGAGACAGATAAACAGACACAGACAGAGAGAGACACATACACAGAGAGATCCCAGAGAATCTCAGAGATAGACAGAAAGATAGAGACACACAGAGTCTCTCTCTCTCTCTCTCTCTCTCTCTCTCTCTCTCTCTCTCTCACACACACACACACACACACACACACACACACACAGAGAGAGAGAGAGAGAGAGAGAGAGAGAGAGAGAGAGAGAGAGAATGAGAATCAGTGTCAGCTAGATCTTGGATCTTCTGCCCTAAATGTGGCTAGGCAGTGTCTCCCCCAGGGAAGGCACTGGTCACTGGTCTGCACACGGTCAGAGTCTTGCTTGTTGGGCATGCCCCCCCATCACATTCTTTCCTTGTGTGGCGCCACTCCTTTCCTGTGTGGCATTTATCACCTCTGCACAGACACTTTCCCAATTGTCCCACTACTATGCCTCCCTGCAGCTGCTGCTTCTGTTCCCAGAAGTGCCCATGGAGCCCACAGGAGGGGTCCTGGTCTCTAAAAGGCAAGCCAAGGCTGCTACAGGCAATGCCCCTGTAGCAGCGCTGGGGCTGACTGGCTCCTGACTCAGGCTTAGCACTGACTTACAGACGTTTCTGCGGTAGGAGGTAAGGTTTGCACGCTAGGACTGACATTCATCACTGCTCACAGCTTTTGGGTGGGAGTGGATGCCATCTGCAGGACTGTGGATCCTGAAAGAGAAGGGCTGGGGCTCTACAAAAGCCCTGTTTTTCTAGGAAACTATGCTTGGGGGCTGCAAAATAACCCCAGCTCATGATGAAGCACATTTTAAGGAATGTGGACCTGGAACCCACAGGTGGCGGGGCAGGCTCCCCCTCTCTCCTGCAGGCTGGCCACTGCCTCCTCCAGGAGGCGCAGGGCAGCAGTGGGCAGCTGCTCTGGAGGTGTTGCATGGCCATCAGCCAGCCCTGTTTGGAATGGAGGCCAGCTCTCTCTTCCCTGGGGTGAGACAGAAGGCCAGCTGGGCAGGCTACAGCTGGGAGCTCTTTCCGAAAAGTGGGCACAATGTACACACTCCCAGCTAGGTTGAAATCAATAGCCATTAGCTTTCAAGACATTGCCCACAAAAGTGCCTGGGGTCTACAGGGGTCTGGAAATACTGCCAGTGCCCCAGTGTGGGATGAGAGTGGCTAGATAGACTCTTGGTCCAGAGTGGGACAGCATTCTCTGTCACCACTCAGGGCCACACAGACAGGCACTTATGAAATGACAGAGGCTTGTCACCAAGCTGCTGTGGTGTAGCCAGGAGTGCACCTTATAGGTGTGCACGATAGCACCAGAGATGACCTGTAGGGACAAGAGCCTACCATTTAAGCTGCAGGGTCATGTAGGCCTGAGAGGAGACTGGTGGCCAGAGGCTAGAATGAGCCACACAGACACCAATCATCACTAGGAGATGATGGACATTAAAAACACCCATTTAACAGAGAATACATGCGCTTCCTACAAGATGGGAGGAAACAGAAGTGGGCAGGAAAGAACAGGGCCCTTTTGCCTGCACAGTTCTGTGGCATGGGGGTGGCCCAGAGCCTTCTGCTACAAGTGAGTAACCAGGGATCTAAAGAGAACCAGAGAGGGTGGCACCTCAGTGCAGAGGGTCCATAATCCTGGTGCCTGGTGTGTGTGTGTGGGTGTGTGTGTGTGTGCGTGCGTGTGTGTGTGTGTGTGTGTGTGTGTGTGTGTGTGTGTGTGTGTGTGTGTAGCTTGAGAGGATATTAACTCTGTGTGGGAGCTAGGGCCACCCTGGGTTTTGGCAGCTTTGGTGTAGACGGAGAAATCAGAGCACTCTGGACTCCCTCATGCTGGGGCTGTACGCTGGGCTTTTCTTAGGGGTGAATATAGGACAGTGGGCTCTTAGATAAAAGGTTGCAGGTGAGACAGTGCCAGTGAGGAAAGAAGGAGGAAGGGAGGAAGGAAGGGAATAAGGAAGGGAAGAAGCCCACTTTCAAGGTTCCTCCTATCTGAGCTTGGAAGTACAGTGACCTCTGACCTCAGAGTTGTAGCATCCCAGCCACTCTCTGGAAGGGTTCTCTGGAGCACTACCCCTACATCCTACCAGGTCTCTAGAAGAATCACTACCCCCTCCCCTAACATTAGGACCTGCTCATCCCACACACTTTTAGGTTCTCTCTGCAAATCTATTCCTGTCGGCTGGGGGGTGGGGCTCAGGGGACTTCACTCGAATTAACACGGTGACACCGAAAAGTGAGATGACAGCGACACTAACCTCATTAAGTCAGTAAGAATGGCCTCCTCCCTCCCAAGCTTGCCCTCTGCCTGGAGCTTCTGGACCAGGCTCTGCTTACAGACGATGTGGGGCTGAGACAGAATCCCTGCCTCTCTGTCAAATGGCAACATGTGTCTAGAGGCTGAGACCAGCTGGAAGCTTCGGAATCAGAAACACAGGGAAGTGGTCACCATCCCAGGGTGCGGCTCTGCAATTCACTACACACACACAGCACCCAGCCCTGCAGCACACAAACACAGTCCTTTTCGCTCAAGAACCATCAGCAAACCGAGTCTGAATGCGCACCCCTGGCTCCTGCAGGCACAGGCTTCCTAGACAGACAGCACCAAACCTCGCTGACAGTATTGCCAGCCCAAGTCATGTATGCTGAATCTTAATCGAGGGTAATGCCAGCGGCCACGAGATAGATGGCAGGTCTCTGGGAGACAGGAAGACAGCCAGGCCAGCGCTGCACAGGGTGGGCAGCAAGCAGGATCAATGGCAGGGTGGTGGGTGCAGCCAGGTGGGAGCCCACCCACCCTCTTCCATCCAGCAGAGTTACCTCAAGTGCAGCCCGATGGGCTCTTTGAGGCTGTCTGCGTTGGAAAAAAACGTGGATGGTCTGGTTTCTGATCAGGCGGAAGCGTCCCCAGACATCACCCCAGCTCTATCGCGTGAGTTCCCGGGGATGCCTGTGTCCAGCCAGCACCCCTCAGATGAGGGCTGCTACATCCATTCCTGTGTCCGACTTACCTGCTTCCCTGGGTGGCTGCTTTTTAAAAAGGCCACAGTCTAGTTATTAGGGAGCTAAGGAGGCATCGGGCGGGCGCAGTGGCGTTTTCATTAGGGAGTGTCACTGCAGAACGTCAGAAGCAATTGGTGAGTGAGAGAGTCCCACAAGGGTCGGCTTTGGAGGCAGCGAGTCCATTAGCTTCTATTAGGGAGTTTTCATCTTGTGGAACAGGCTGAATTATTCACGACTGCCTCTCCCCTAAAAGCTCAGGAAGTGCAGCGGCGTGCTGCAGCCTGGCGATGCAGATGCCTGGCAGCGCGGTTGGGGTGTCTCATGAGGTGGGGGTCCTGCCCCTTTCCTTGCTCTCACCTTTGCTGCCTCTGCTGCCCTCATACCACAGGCACGGATCTTCGGAGCCAAGGGTTGGAGAGAGACGGCCGTTCCTTATTTGAAAGCCAGACACATAGCTCACCGCTTCTACTTCACCTCGTTCCAAACCGTGGTTGCAGTGGGCAGCTAGGGTGGCCGTGGCATGCGATCAGTGCCACTGGGAAGAGACACATAGAGATGTCTTTCCCCTCCTCTAGGACGTACACTAGGTGGGTATACTCCTGACCTGGGCTTTGGGTAAAGCTTTGGGACTCTTCTCTGTGAGGCCAGCACCCGGCTGAGGCAAAGATGCAAGGAAAAAAGCCACCAACTCACTGTGGCTTTGTGGCACCTCCTACTGGTGGTGGTGGTGGGTGTAATTTTGCAACCTTTGGCCTCTCCAAGATCAGGGGTTTCGCTCTGGCTGTAGGAAACTGAGCAGAAATATCTGTGTCTGCTGTAGCCCAGCTGCAGGGGACTGAGCACAGTCCTTACCCTCGGGCACTTCCTCCACGGAACAATGTGCTGTGGGTTGAGAACACGTGGACCCGTCTGCAGCATGTAGACAGTACAGGTCCCCACACAGCCCGGAGAAGGTGACACTAGCCAACCCACAGACACATAAGCAGGAAAAACTCTCAACTGCCTGATGACACCTATGTGTCATTCAGGAATCTTCTCCCTGTTGATGTGGAAGCTGCTCACTGGCAA